CGGCAGTGGAGGATGGGTCGAGATGTATCACAGTTAGGTTTCAATTCGTTATGGTCAACTGTCGTCCCCCATGGCTCAGTGGCATAAGCTGCTGGCTAGTTGGCGTTAGCCTCTGACAGACATGGGTTCGATCCCCCGTAGGGGACCAGTGGATGCGCATCACTGACGAGCCCCAATAGCGCGAAACGCGCGTTTGGTGCCTTCCCGGATTAGTAGCTTATCTATGCGGCGTGGAATCTAATTGCGGTAAACCAACTTGAAACTTAGTATTTGCTGACATTTACCCATGATTTCTTAATTGCCGCGATGATTTCTTCTTTGGCTAGTTTGTCTTTAATGTTGTAAAATCTGTTCCGAATCGTTTCAAACGGTAAGAAACTTGACACATTCGTCTTCATCCTCGACGCCCGTAACGGGACTGCATTGAGATACTACCAGGGGGCGGTTGGGCACAACCATAAAATCTTGACTTCGTCCAAAAGTACAGATCCGGAAACTGGTGAAGTTCGCTAGTCGATCCCCCGGGCGCTTGGTCAGCTGGGGTAAATCTTGTTGACCATTATTTTCCAGGCAAAAGCTGATCGACAGTTCTTGGAGACTATGGTGTTGATAAAAGTTTTGCAGACGAAATAGACACAGTGTGCTTTGCATCCACAGCAAAACGCGCTGCATGGAAGTACAACCAGAAAGGAGATTTTTTGTTACCTGAAACTAGGACAACTCATTCTCCTGCTATCCATTTTGCCAGTTGCAACACACAGCTCCTACCTTTACCTTGGTGCTTGAAGTTTGCACCTCAGAGGCCAGCAATCCATATTCTTCAAGCAGCTTCGATCCGATCGATGAAGTACGGTGGATGCCAGGACGTTGCATAAACTCGTAAACATTGGAAAATGGCTACTATTGTGACGCCGTCACCGAGAGAAAGCACATTCCTACTTTCAAAGCTCAGAAGCTGGCTACGCTACGTAGCTTATACATTAGTCATCCACAAGCGCTCCAAACTGAAAGAAACGCATAAACTTAACAACAAAGGTATTCCGGCACCCAGACCATCAAAGATGCCGAAGATATCAATTATTCAGATCGTGGCTATCCACACTGTGTGTTATCTTTGATGAGAGGTATGAGGAACGAATCGTGACCATGAGATGCTCGGTAAGATATCTAGCGCACCTATCCGCCCCTCCGAAATCAATGCCATATAAGAAGTTTTCGAGATTAAACCATGTTACTCAGTTGAGGCCATGAAAGTAAGGCTTCACCACATAGTCTTTGGTTGTACGGGTCATGTTGTTCCCCGAGCTCGGGGTTTTAGATGCAGACGTTTCGCTGAGAGGTAAGGCAACATCATGCGTGCGGCTTTCAGGGCACGGTTGGAAGGTATTCGTATGAAAGTCCTATGTTCAAGTGTTTATTGATCGACTATCGATTCGTGCGTCAGGTTTCCGTAAACCCACGCGCCTGACGACCTTTCGTACTTCCTATAGTTGCAACGTTCACCAAAACCAGTTGTTGTATTTTTACATCTACGCTTCAGTGATAGATTTCTTATCTGCAAGCAGCAGCTGTAATATACTTAACCTATCTGTCAAGCATGGATTTGGATTTCTCAAAGGCTGACAGATACATGCACTTCACTCACCGGTAGCCTCTTATTTGTCATTGTATTTTGGTTGCTCATATTTTCGATGCAACGTCACGTGTTGGCTTCTATGTTACCAACTGACCTCATGCTTTGGATGGGTGGTGAGCTGGTCAAGTGAGCACTTTCACTGCCGTGTTAACCTAAGGCAAACTTCTGGCCTGGTTCTCAGTGCTTCCTAGATAGTGCCTGACTCTATGGGTTTGTTGCTTGAATTCTGATTAGAATGCTGGCCGCGGCTGAATTCATATGCCTTGAGGCTTCTATCTCTTCCAATTATCCTAATGTAGAGTTGTCGACGGACTGAAAAACCATGTTCCCTTTCTCTGACATTTTCTTCCATTAACTTCCTGGTTTCTTCTTTGGCAAAACTCGCGACGCAATGAAATTAACACGTACGCGTGATCGCATGTACGGAAACCTAGGCCACAGTCTCAATATAATCTTCGCACTTTCCACCCTTTACTCACAACCAGCATGTGTACGCGTCACTCGGCCATGCCTACAGCGCTGCACACCTCTCCGCATTAGGGGGCGAACGCACGAGGAAACTGAATTCTCAACTGCACGTTTTCATCTTATAATATGTAGTTTTTGATGCAGACGTTTGGCACGTCTGCAAAAGCACTAGACAGCGCCTGGACTGACTACTGTCCTCCGCACAGTTCGTCACTGGCATGGCAGTGGAAGTTGAGCCGGGCAATATATTGTGCTCCACTGTCAATCATGCAGGTCTGCGGCTATCACCTATGGCTAAGTGGCACTAGCTGCCGGTATCCGGAATACATTGGGTTAGAACCCGGCAGGGGACTGCGGAATGCGCACCACTGAGGCGACGCGGTAAGATGAACCGGCGCTGTCTGGTGCTTTTTTCAGACATGCCAAACCGCTGAATCATACTAAATCCCCACTACTCATTAGTAATCTAGAAATACGGACTCGGCACAAATGATATGTGACTCAGTTTGTTGGAATATCCAGCGTAAATGTTGTAAAGTAGAAAATATTGCCAAACCACCCGCTTGTCCACCGCAGATAAAATGATATCCGCCCCGAAGCCGTCAACGTTATTGACCCTACATACTTGTGCAACTGCTGACAATATAACTACTCACAAATAATATGAATAATAAAGTCGTCGACGTAATAGCTTATACCCAGAAATTGAGACTAGTGCAAAGGTGTCACCGCTTATGCGACTGTGACTGCGCCATACCTGACATGATCTACACCCATTGTATGGTTTATCCCGAAGGCGCTTTCCAAAAAGACGAGAGGAACCAAACATATTCAGTCTGTCGTTGAATTTCTTAATACAGTTCAACGTCCCATGGCGATCAGTTGTCCAAGGTGACCACCTTTTGTCAGTCCCTTGAGTGGTCATTTTGGAAAGATTTGACTGTAGTCCTGTGCCCAATCGCTGAGTTGCTACCGCGGAGTTTCATCCATTTAAGCACAGTATTGGCAGATAAGCAGAGAGAGTCACCCAGCAAAACGCGCGGCATATCACGGAGGCACCGCATGCAATTACAATTCAACAGGCATTCCTTTGAATCCCCGAAAGGCTTGTTGCTTGGTCCCAAATTAAAATTAATACCAGCAAACCAGTTTACAGTTACATGATCCAGTAATACGACAAAGTATGAATATATAAGCGGGGTCCCACTGGGCGCACACACAGATAAGATATTTTACTCTGTCGGTACCCAACTTCGGTGGTGTGAACTTTTGGTTTTATTACGTACGTACGCAACATGGGAATTTCCACAAGGGAAGACCACGAAAATAGCAAAAATCCAAAGAGGAGACGTTTAACAGAGGATCAATCGGTTTTGAATTGCAATGTGTGTTGAGGTACCATTATCGCACGATAGGATAATGCCTGATTAAGTGAGCGGGGTACATTGGGTGTATACACAGCATTTTTCACCTAGTATTCTCTGCTTTCGATATCCACCAAGGACATGTGAAAGCCATAAAGTTAGTAGTACCTGTTTCGTATGTGGTCTCCCGCTTCCAACTACTGAGGATTTTGTTCCCAGCATTCTTTAGACCTAATTCTGATTGCGTTTCTGTTTGCTTATATTTTCTTTCCATTTCCTCCATGTCTTTAACCTACATCAGCATAGCAATAAGAGTCCAATTAGCCGGATATAGTTTTATTCGACAACAACTGATCAAATCACCCGACAGGAACTAAACGCTCTAAGTTGTTAGTTGAACCGCCAGCTGATGGCATTGTGCCCAGACATAAGCAGCTTCTTTGCTAAACTAGTCGGCCGATATGCACCCCATGATTTTGCATCGACCTGCTACGATTACACGCAAGTTATGTTGAACTGTAGTAGATAGGAATGTTTGAGCAGTCAATATTAGCAAAACTAGACCCCCACCGTCCACCGAACAGGTGTGTGCCAGAATCGAGCAAAATGGCAGTAAAATCGTGTCGTAGAGAGCATCTGGGTTTTTGGGCTATCTTGTTTTCTTTGTGATCTTATGCCGATGGCTAATGATAACGCAATTAAATCACTGGAGTTGAGGAATTACCTTCGCAAGTGGCAACGCAACCAAGAGTCGGACCGATTGAAGTTGCATTTGTTAATAACAGAGCAAATACCATACCTGCTCCTTAGTTCATAAAAACAAAACCAATGAAGACAACCGCTCGTCGAATGGTGTGATAGACTCGTCACTGAAACCGGATTCTAGGACCGAAGTTCAAAGTGGATAGCAATGGCGTCCGGATAGCTCGTACAACGTCGATAAATTCGCAGTATTTCCAACGGATGCAGCAGCTGGCATCCCCTTCACGAAAGTCAGGTGCAGTGCAACATAACGCATTCGGCAAGAACCTCTCAAATGCTCAAATTGCACCCATCCGGTTACATAAAGTTTACCTTTGCTTGAGTTGAACTGACTGCGGTTTATGAAGTTGTGTTCTATAGCGTACACAGTCTAACATGCCATGGGGATCGCCTGTCTATAGCGGCCACCTGTCTAAGGCGACAGCCAAAAACACCCACAACCTTTCCGCCTATGAGTAATGTCCCTATGCTTGAACCTGTCGATGGCGACCACCTGTTCAAGGCGACCACGTTTGACAGTTTCTTGAATGGTCGCCTTAGGTAGGTCTGGCTGTACTCAAAAATGCAGTAGCGTTCAGTGAACTTGGACTCATTCAGGTATGTATTCATGTGGTTTCTTGGTCTAATGTAAATACGCCCATTAACGCACCACAATATAACACGCAACTTGACGCTACAAGGAGCACTACACGCGCCATGGAATATGGACAAAAATTAGTTGACAAGTACCTGATAAGAGTCGCATGATTTACAAATAACAAACTACTGACCTTTCCGACACCTTCGTTTCCGGCCACAGCAGGTAGAGGAGGTTTAATCGCGTAAACACTGTGTGATGTTTATGTCAGAAGTGTGGTTAGCTCTAGCATACGCTTTGACGTGTATTCCATCAACATCGGGAGGTTTCATGTTGCTATCGGTTATTGATGATCACCAAAACCAATAGGGACCTGACACCTTGAAGTATGACGACCATGACTAAGTAGTCATTGAAAACTGCAAAATGGTGCTACTCCTCATAGGATCCCAAAGGGGTTCCACTAAGTATACCTTCGTTCTTTGCCTTTGGGACAGCCGGTCAACTAAGGCGCTCTGCCCACGGTTATTGGCACCAACCCGTAGGGTTCTCAGTGATGATGAAAGATGTCAAGTGGAGGCGGCCGGTAAACCCTCAGAAGGTTCTAATACCACCGTTGCAAATCAAGGTAGGCCTCCACAAACAATATGTCTGCAGCTTTCAAATACCTTCTAGCTTCCTATCCACAGTTAATAGATGTAAAGGTAAAAGCTGTTATCTTTGTTGGGCCACAGGTAAAGAGGATAATAGAAAGTGCTGAATTCGGAGTGAACCTGCATAGGACAAGGAAGTCGCTTGAAGCAGTTCCGTTGCAGTGCTTCAGAGCTTCCTTTGCCATCACAGAGTTAAAAACTATAAGCAGCCAGTTAAGGCTCTCATAGTGAACTACACCAACATGTGATGCAGGTCACACAAAACCCATATTCTTGATGCTCATTTTGATAAATGCTAAACGAACTATTGAATCTCTTGTTTAATAGTAGAGAGACAAAATGGACACTGGTTTAGTTGCTTACTTGCAATGCGAAAATTACAATGGATGTCTAGAACACAACTCTATCCCCCGTTGGAACACGCTTGTTAGAAAGCGATGGATTTTCACTTGCCGCTTGATTGGCTGAGTGTTTGGCGTTCGTTCACACATGTGATTTCTCAAACATTTTTCCCGGTTTACACAAAAGTTTTATTGCCACGAACGACGCTGTGTCGCGTACATTGTCACCGTTTAATTTCCATTTCTTAGCTCACCATATTTTGCTTTGGTTGTGGTTCGATTGATCTAAGCCTAGTAGATACATCTGGAAGAACATGAAAAGAAATCGATGTAGTATCTTTGTGCTGAACTTGTTCTGGTATATGACGATGTTTGGTTGGTAAGAGGCAAGAGGTAAGAGGTAAGAGGTGTAGTCAAACGAATTGGATATTTAATTTCATACAAAACATATTTTCCTGATTTACCAATTCTGGGAATCCAATATTTTGTCCAACCTCGAAGTTGGAAACGAAGACTGAGTACCGGGATGCAAACATGCACGTACCATGCTTAGGATCGAACTGAGCTGCCATTTTCTGGTTAGTTCATTGGCGTTCTTTTTTTAGACACATGATGTCTAATGACCTGTGTAAAGGTCTAACATTAGAAAGTTCCGACGATTGTTGTTGATTTGGGAGAACAGGATTTGGTGTTGAACGGTACACGCGCATAATTACATCCAAGTTTACAGCCAAATCCACCACTTCAACAGAGTACATTTGGGTGTATTAATAAACCTCTCGGCTTGTCTATTGGACTGGTGGAGAACCAATGAAGAAAGAACAATAATTTATAACGGGATAAATAGCATTGCTTGACTAGTCCCGTAGGATCACCGGAATGGGGATTACGAAATGACTGTTTATAATGGCAGCAAAAAGAGAAAATTCCGGTTTGTGATTACTCACCGTTATTCACATGCATACATGCTGCTCTGATCACCGCTCCGTAACGCGAAAGGCTGGAGAGCACACTGTTTGTATTAATTCGCCTTCCGGTGAAAACAGACCATGTCGCATAATGTAAATGGGATCGACAGTGGTGCAGTGGTTTTCTTTGGAAAGCATTCCTCTAGGGATGAAAATAACACGAGATGAAAGAGCATTCCACGTTGTGGATACCCGAAGGGAGACAAGGTTTCGTCTGCAATCAACTCGACTATGGGTGTGTGGTACGTTTGGGGTTGGTAGGTTGGTATTGTGATTGACTTTCATCAGATTGTGACAGGGTGATTGGGGTTAGTCAGTACTTGGTACACCATAATAAGGTCCACTCGCCGCTGTAAATGCCTAGGTCCTGCAGTCTGCTTTGGTAGGGGAGGTGAAACAGTCCTCTAACGATTTTCGCCGTCTTACCTTGTGGAGCTTCAAGTGCAGCATCGTGCTTGTGCCAGGTTCGCCAGGCTGGGATGGCGTGTTCCACGTGGAGCCTCACGTAGGCCTTCAGCATATGTGCAAAAGATAATAGCTCGAACTTCACGAATGCGCTTCGTAGGATGCCTAGGTGTAGCGCGTCGATCGTGCGCTATATATCTGGTACAAAACTAAACGACCATCCGTGAGCGTACAGGAGAACAAACGAAAATAAGCTAGGGAAAAGGTTTATTGAACGGGAGAAGAGCTAGATATGGCTAAAAATAGGGCACCAGAGGAGAGTTAGCTAAGGAGGATGTAGTTGGACTTCGAGTGCGTGGACGGGGCATTGTTCGACGTCGCGTCGAGCGCGCCAAAACGGCTATCGTGTGTTATGAACAAACGGGAACAAATTTCCGACAATCAAACCGCTTAATTCCATAATACATAAAAAACTTAAAATTTTAGAATATTTTAGAATAGTTTATACAATCATACGGGGAATCTCCACATCGCTACACAGCCCCCCTCCTAGAAGAGAAATCGTGGGTGACTCTTCGATCTACGTGAGGACTGTCCGTCGCATGCCAGACTTCTGCGAGACCAGGTAGCGGAACCTAATGCTGCTGCTGGGGGCGAACCAGGCGACCGGACCCAAGAGAGCTCCCACCCGTGTCCTCCCTAAAGGTGGCAGAGACACAAAGTGGGGGAGAGTTCGTAAGCGTCAAATGTTCACTTCAGGCTCGTCATCTCCTCCGTCTTATAGCTGGAAGATAAACCGAAACAAGCGCAGTGACAGTGGGGACGAGGGCAAAAGCAACTATGACACTTACCGGATGGGGTAAGCGTAAAGCAAACGCAACTCATTTTGTGTGTTCACATGGTTTTCTTCCTTTTTTGGGTTTTCGAAACGTTTTGCGTTCTTTTTGGGTTTTCAAACACCTTTGTCGAATTGTTGGCATTTTCAAAAGCTTTTGCAGATTTTAGGTTTCGTTTAGGTTTCTTTATGATGTTAATCAAATAAGAAACAGGAAGAGAGAAAACGAAGTGGAAGGAATACTAATCCCTTAATCGCGCCGGCCAATGAACGCGCCTACTCGACGTAGTCGACTTGTGCGGATCGGAGGATGGCGTCGTTTTAGACGTTCTATCGGATTGCAAAGTTGGAGGAATTGCTGAAGATGTGGCGGTTGGTTCGATGGGAAACGACCGAGTTGATGTGGAAGGCTTGGGTAGGAGGCGATGCTTGTGGTCCGGGGTGTTGGAAGCAGGCGAGTCTTCCATCATAGTCTAGGTTGGTTCGTCAGAAGACGAGCATGAGTCTTTATCGAGCTTAGGTTCCACGTGAACAACCTAGTGACTCAATCGTAGCGGTTCCTCCTTTAACGTGACGGTCAATGATACAGACGAGGTCGTTACGCTGCATAACCTTGAAAGGACTTTCGTAAGGTTGCTCCAGTGGTCTGCGGAGACCATCGAGGTGGAGAAAAACGAACAGACAATGCTGCAGGTCTTGTGGAACAAACGATTTACGTCGTTGTTCTCTAACGTTGGGAAGCATTACGGAACATTTTTTCCTGCTGCCTGTTTCACACAAAACCCACACCACTTGTGCCTCCGGGGTCCTATTTTACCAAATGTGCATTCGACTGTGACTGAATGGTTCTGGTATGTTTCCTCCTGCTTTCGCCCGGTCTTTTTATCAATACACGTTGCGCTGTGGCCTTGGCTTCCTGTGTTCTCAAGGCGGAAACAAGCGGGTGCTCAGTCCTTCTCAGTAGTTGTAACAGGCCTGTGTCAGGCATTCTGCTATGCTTGTTCCTGCCGAAGATATTTTGGTGTCCAGCGTCTTCTCAACTACGTCTGTAAACCTTTCATACTTCTGGGACAATGCAATTACGATGTTAACTAGTGAGACAGTATTACACTTGGCACAGAACCAAAATAATTCAGGCCTACTGCTGATCAGCCTGCACTCGCTTGTTGTGATTTTCTCGCATTTCGCATGGAAATAGGTTTGGCGGTTTCCACAGGGCACGTGAACCTGTGATGGTTAGTCCCACCAAGGACCCTAGAATGATTGATCCGGCTTCAAGATCAGCCCGCCGAGACAGTGGCTGTCGCAATGTCTCAATCTTGCGGTCGCGCGCAGGTAGCCGGCTTCAGCGGTGGACACACAATCACATGAAGGCGCAGCGTGGATTGATGGGGCTGCGTTACACGAAGACGCACGCGGGGCATTGGCAAACTACCCTACGTGCCTCGGACGCGATGTTTAGCGGGTGAATGACGGAAAGTCTCTCGTAACTTTGTTATGCTGCCGCCTGTAGGGATGGTTGCAGGGTCGTTTGAGAGTCTTCAGCTTCTTCTACCGAATGAGATCAAAATTATTCTCGAAAAGCCAGGGGGTGATGCGCTTTCACTAGCAGAACTTGACGAAGAGTGTGCCGAAACTGAGGACGGAAGTAACAGTATAACCCACACAAGTTAGATCCAAGAGATGGAAAGCACTGAGTAGCGTTCGTCGAACTGGTTCGAACGAGCACACACACAAGAATGTGTGTGGAGAACTGGAGTGACCACAGCGAGTGAAGCGAGAGTCGAGATAAAGTGCAGAAGTACAGCAGTCAGGTTGCCTGATTCATGATGCACAAGCTAAGTTCTGGTTTGAAAAGATCAGCCTTGTTTTCCTGCAAGCTTTCCAATATTTCATATTTTATTTTTTATGAACAGTTATAACATCAACTTAGCCGATGAACGATCGCCTGGATGAGACAAGCCATGCGACTTGTCGAATACGGTCTATCGAAATTCACATAATACGAATGGGCGCGGCATGCTCAGAGGATATTCCCGTCTGCTAATCACAGCGGAACTGGTCGTACGTCCAATGAGGGG